TAGCTTGCTGCGGAGAATGGCAAAACTGACTGATGATGCCGGCGAAACGTTTGAGAATGTACCAAGTCAATTGTCTGATGTTGGGAATTATGACAACTACTATGGCAAACGACTTCGAACTAGATGCGTTCTACTAAGTCGCCCTTACAACAAGACCAAGTTGCGACAACGAAGTCAACCCACTTATATAAATCAAAAGAGTCTGCGACCATACCAGAAGCCACACCATCTTGGTCTTCATATCTTCAAGCGTCTTATAGTTACGACAATACACCGTCTTAGGAACGCAACAGATCCAAGCGAATCGTCTAAGTAGATCTCACCTCGTTAGACCCATAATAAACTAATAAAAATCGACTTAGCAGATAAACTGGGTAGGCTTATTATATGTATGCATGGGAATTACCAAAACCGCTACAATAGATTTGATGGCTTTGGACGTATTACAATCATAACTGGTTTCGTGCTTAAATGAGAACAGTCAGCGCACGATTAATTATGATGGAAATGTACTTCAACATAGAATTTCACTTTTGAATATATCGAAAAGGAATGCGCTGACATTTATAACTCCATAAGTCTCGTCATCATCCTCCGCCTTATTCCAATCGTTCCATCTGGATTAGTAGGCGAATAAGTTACCCATATTATGCACGAAACTAGCAGTATATATTGTGCTGAACGATAAGCATGATTTTCCAAGCGAAAAATTCTAGTATGAATTTTATATTAATAGATAAATAAATACACCAAATAGCGTATCGATTTAAGTGGTAAACATAAGGCTCCATAACGGAACAAATTTCTCACAAAATGATAGTTGAGAGAAATTTGAGGTGCATCGAAAATCATGCTCATGTGTAAAACAATGAAGACACAATAATTTGTTGGGGAAACTATCGCTAATAATCGGCTACCCGATGACTTCTAAATGAAAACAAATGTCAATGATAAAGTAAGCTAAAAATGCTCCTGGTATGGGTTAGATCAATTAGCCAGGTCCAATGTCAAAAGAAATGAACAAAAGATTGATGCAAGATTATCTGTGACAATCATTCAAAGTATTTATTCATTGTCACTTTTCATAATGGAATTCTCATAACAATCAGAGTTGTCTTTAGGCAACTCAGAGGGTTTAGGTAACACGAATAAAGAAAATTGAATCTGTTGATCTAAACCAAGGTAGGTATCAGAGAGCAAATATACTGTAACTCTGCGCATTACGCCAGCTGAGGGAGATGCATTCAGAGTGAAGCCTTTTACAGGAAGTAATGGAAGTATGAAGGCAAGATTGAGCGTAATCGAGGCCGTATTTTTAGCCAGAGTTGAACCATCGGAGACTAGATTTCCCGTTCTCCGACGCATAAAGGAGAGAGCGCCCATCGGTAGACGACGCATACAGATAAGTTCACCGAATCTGTCTTGTGGCCTTGAAGTTGCGTCACCAAGAACAATAGTCCATCCGTCTACCTTTGACTTTGCTAGGCCTGGAGTCAAGGCTCTCTTAGAATAAGTAATCGTGCAATTATTAATAATAGTAATACTAAATATTTTAATAATTATAATATCAAATATGTGGATTGGTTTAAAAAAGGAATAGTTACTGGCACAGAAATGGAATAGAATTGGCGTAAGCTTAAGTCTCATTTGGTAAGGAAGGACGAATGGTTAAGTTTTCCCATAATTATATGAGTAAGCCTTCTTATGCCAAAAAATTTAATATAGC